AGAAATTTTTTTGAAGCTGAGTTCAGTGGTACATGCTTGTAATATCAGCACTTGGAAGGCAGCGATAGGAGGGTTGGGAGTTAGAGGACATCCTAGGCTACATTTATCTCAAATAAAAAGTTTCATCAGGACAATGATCTTAAAATGTTACACAAAAAAGGGAAGAAAGGGAGTGAGTGGGTGGGGAACTCAAAGAAAAAGAAAAAACAAAATTGAAATGGAACCTTCTTTAGTTGAAAATATTCTGTACAAAGGATCTAATTTAATGTCTCATTAATTATAGCTTTTTCTGGTAATTCTAAATTATAAAGAATAGTTAACATTACAGGAAGATTAAATACATTTACTATATCACATCTAATGATTGTTACCTATCCAGAGTCAGTGGACATCTTTTATTTCACCCTAATCATTCAAGTGGATTTCTGAACTTCTACCTACAAAGCTATATTATGCCCAAAGCAGTTATTTTACACAATGACATGCCTCTACATATACTCACTATTCCATTGCTTGTCAAACTGTTTAATACAAAGAGTAGTATATAGTCTTTTTATTTTATTTATGTATATATGTATGTGCAGGTGCCCAAGGAGGTCAAAAGAAGGTGTTGGGACAGGGATCCCATCCTATCCCGGATCTGCACATACCTCATCTTGGCAGAATTAATGCATCTGCCAGCTCTTACCAGAGAAGTTTCCTTATGCAACAGATGATAATTAACACCAAAAACCACAACTGGCCAACATGCAGAGACAAGAGACTACAGAGCATTTATCCCTGAATAAGACATCTATATCAAACTTCTACTCCCAAGGCTCAGGGATCGTTGCGGAAGATGGGGCAAGAAGACTGTAAGAGCCAGAGATGGTGGGTGACCACAAAGAAATAGAGCTTTCCAGACAACTGGTCAGTTACTCATATGAATGCACAACAATGGTAACAGCATGCAGAAGTCTTCCATACAAGCTAAAACTAGAAAAATCCCAGCATAGGCACGAGAAAGTGGGTAAGAAGCTCCAACCCCATCTAAGAAAACTGCTGTAACACATGCTATTGGGAGGGCAGAGATAATCTCTTTCAAACATAGGACTCTTGGTGGGTTAACTAGACTCCAATGGATAGACCCATACTGAAGAGTATTTGGGGACATAAATTAGACTCTGTAGGCCTCATTATATGTAATACAGTACATTAAATTGGGCGTGGGGGAACAACAGGGGTGGTGGAGATAGGAGAAGGGATCTAAATATCATCAAATTATATCACAAGAAAATCACAAAAATTTTTAAAAACCCAAACAATATTAATTAACTAATTTAAAAAAGGAAGAGGACATTTGATCACCTGGAACTGGAGTTGCAGGCAGTATGAGTCACCCAGTGTGAGGGCTTAGATCTGAACTCCAGTCCTCATGATTGAGCAACAAGCACTCTTTTTTAAAAAACATATTTTTTTTTTTTTTTTGGTCTTTTTGAGACAGGGTCTCCCTGTAGCCCCAGCTGTCCTGGAACTCACTATGTAGATCAGGCTGGCTTTGAACTCACAGAGCTCTGCCTGCCTCTGCCTCCTGAGTGCTGGGATTAAAGGCATGTGCCACCACACCTGGCCAAAACATACTAAATTTTTAATTTTTTATTTTGTGTGTATGAATGTTTTGCCTGCATGCTGTAAGTGCACCACATGTGTGCAATGCTCTTGGAGGCCAGAAGAAGGTATCAGATCCCTTGAAACTGGAGTTAAGGATGGTTGTTAGCTGCCGTGTGAGTGCTGGGAACTGAACCCAGGTCCTCTGCAAGAACAGCAAGTGCCCTTAACTGCTGAGACATTTCTCCAGCCTGCAGCAAATGTTCTTAACTAGTGAACCATCACTCCAGATCCTAGAGTATATACTGACCCTTCCTAAATCTTCAACTTTCTATTCTACAATAAGCTTGGACTCTGGATACCATCTGCCTAAAATAGCTGTATGGTTTGTTCTATTACTTCTCTGGGTCACTGTTCCAATGTTACCTCATCACAGAGACCCTCCTAACACTCCCTATCCTCCTTGTTTTGCCTTTATTTCCCCCTTCGTTACACTTACCACATTTGATATACTACATATTCACTTGTTTATCTGATCATTGACCACCAAGGTGGTAAGAGATTTGTTGTGTGTATTACACTACTTAGCACAGAAGAAATATGATAAATTATTTGTTGAGTGAATGAATAACTGCACAAGAAAGAGGAGAATTAAGCCCATTCATTCACAAGCTTTGGAGACAAGCACATCATTTAGGCAAACGGGACAAAGGAAGAACTATTTCTCAATTCTGTTTTCACAATGGAAAGACTTACAATGGAAACAGAAGGTGGCCAGTGGACTAATACTAGCAGAAACAGCATGGTCAAGCTCTTCAGCAAACACTCCAGGCTTACTCCCTGTTCTGCTCTATTCATTAGGCTCCAAGAAACTGCCTGAAGGAAAGTATGTCCTTTCTCAGTTAAGAACCTTGGGAAACACACTCATGGCCAACAAAGATTGAGTAACTTTTTCCCAAGGTATAAGTTGACCCTGAGGAGGGATGGAGGCATCCACAGAGGTGTTGCATAAATCCAGAGTTACCTTGGTTCACTTCAGGCTCTCTAGTGGACAGACAATAGCGAGGGAGCTGAGGAGCTTACTGCATTCCCATCCACAGAGGGGTCAGCATTCCTTCTGAATTAGAATGGAGCCCAAGCCCAGATCTTCCCTAGCAAGCATTACTATACTAAAGCTCTTAATTGCCTTTACGTTGAATTTCTTCATCTGCATAGTACAACAATGTTATCACTTTCAGTTCTTTCATCCAAGGCTTCCTCCTCTCTACCTAATGGCTACTTTTCCGCAGTCCATGAAACTGAGGCCCACAGTAGAAATCTATCTCACCAAAAGTCACCCGGCAGGTAAATGCAGAAACAGAACCAGAATTCAGGTTTAATGTCTTTCCCATTATAGACTCAAATTTAGTTCTCACACCCATGGCCCTCAATCTCTTAGATTTTAAAACTGTTTGATCACTGAGCCCCTTTAGTGGGAAAAAGACCCTATGAGTCACTTACTTAAGTGGCAATATCAAATTACAACCATGTAGGGAGAAGTGACACAAAAGAAAATGGCCAAACCTGAAGGCAATCAGATCTTAGAATACTGCACTTGGACAGTTGCCAGCTCCCACAAAAATTACCCACTGAAGGATCAGTTGGTAAAGTGAGTGCACTGCAAACATGGGGCCCTGGATTTGATCACCATCATCAGAAAAAAAAGTTAACTCACTGAAATCAGTGAGGTAAATGATGTTCCTTTTCATGACAAAATTTGCATCAATAGCTTGAAGTACCATGAATAATGTGTTCATTCATTATTCAATAGTGACAGACTTTAAATCACAACTCAATTACACTTGTTTCGTGACAAAATGCAATAGTTCCACTGGGTGTGGTGGTTGCATGTCTTTAATCTCAACACTCAGGAAGCAGAGGCAGGTGGATCTCTGTGAGTTCAAGTCCAGCCAGAGCTACACCATCAGTCACTGCCTCAAGCAACAAGAAATGTAGTAGTTTTCACTGCAGGCTTTGAAAAAGTGTGTTCAATAACACAGCTCACTGTATTTTCAATTTTGAGAAAAGATCAATACTAAAATCTTCCAACCTTTCCTTCCCCTATATTCAGTCATTTATTTAACTGCCTTTATTTTCCAAGATATCTCTGTATCTACAATTTAATTTTATCCTCACTTTACCCTATGAAATCAAGCTAGGTGGGACAGAGATTATGATCTTGACTGAAGAGATAGGGAAACTGGAATTACACAGTTGTTAAGGGGTTGCTATGTAAAGAGAGAACCTGGACTCCCGTTACTCTTCCCTATCTGACATTAAGCAACATTTGTCAATCTAAACTAGCAGCATGGAGTTGGTATGTACTGCCCATCAAGATAAAGCAATAACCCAATTAGGCAGAATCAGACTCCTGAAAATACATTCAATAATGAAAGCAATTGCCTATAAATAATAGTAAACATTTTTCTTTTCTTTTCTCTTTTGGAGACAGGGTTTCATGCTGCTCTGGCAGGCCTTCTGCCTCTGTCTTCTAAGTACCAGGATCACAGGCATAAGTCACCAAGCCCAACTAACAATTATATCTTTGTTTGTAAGTGAAACTTAAAAAAAAAAAAAATTTTTATTGGTGCACGCCTTTAATCCCAGCACTTAGGAGGCAGAGGCAGACGGATCTTTGTGAGTTCGAGGCCAGCCTGGTCTACATAGTGAGTTCCAGGACAGCTGGGGCTACAAGGAGACCCTGTCTCAAAAAGACAAAAAAAAAAAATTATTTATTATTTTTATTTTATGTGTATGAGTGTATTGCCTGCATGTAGGTAAGTGTACCCATGTCGTGCAATGTCCATGGATGCCAATGAATGCCCTGGGACTAGAGTTACGGACAGTTGTTAGCTGCCATGTGGGGACTGGGATTCGAACCCGGGTCTTCTACAAGAACAACCAGTGTTCTTCACCACTAAGCCATCTCTCCAGCCCCGTGAGTGAAACTTTTAAATGACATTCATATGACTGAGAAATGTGCAAGTCGTTAGAAAGTAACACTTTTCAGTTTGTTTGTTGGAAGTCTGTGAATCTCAGTCTATATATCTGTAACACTGGCCTGATGATTATGTTATGTGTCTGTAGAAAACATAGTACTAACTGAAATATGTGTTTCACAGGGAGTTAGGTATCCTCTTGTGCTGAGCACAGTACACAGCAGAGTCTGTAAGCAGAAGAAGTGATCTTAGGAAGAGCCAGGTCCATGTTTCCTCATTTAATGTTTCTTATAAACACCCCCATGAGATAGGTCATATGTTTATTATCATAAATATGAGGAAACTAAGACACTGCAGTGTCCAAGTTCCAAGGGTAAGGGTCAAGTTCTTAGCATGAGAGACCTGGTTGATTTAACAAGGGCAAGTGCAACCTACCATTCTGAAGTCCTCCTCAAACTTGAAAGCCCCACCTCCTGTGGCACAGAGGGTGGTGTGGAGGCTGGAGAAGTTCTTCTCGCTGCCCATTTGAATGAACATGTGCATGGCGCAGGTGGGGAAGCGGATGAAGTGCAGGTTCCCTTTGCGCCCGCACATGGTCAGGTTTCTCAGTTCCAGGTGGACGTCGCGGATCCCAGTTTTCCCATAAGCAGTATTAGAAGTCAGGTACTTCCGGATGCTCTTCAGGTTCTCCACTTCTTCCTGCTCCTCTTCTGCTGTAATATCCTTTGGTTCAAAGTAAACCAGCTTGACCAGGGTTCCACCAATATCCATGCCAAACCACGGGAATGCTAGAGGACCGAAGGAAAGAGTGCTGTTGAACTCATACTTGAAAAGCTCAGCTTTTGAATATTCAATAAGGAAAAGCATTTACTATTAAATTTCCTTTAAGCCAACTCTGCATGTCAATCACAGTTCCAGTGGTACTCAGGATGATGGAACCAAACTAAAGCCCCCCAGGTTAAAGTAGATTTAAACCAAATCCCCCAGACTAAAGAAGAATATTCAGAACAAGGAAGTAAGAAGTAAAATAATTCTAACTGCTGAGAAACAGCTGACCTTTTCATGCTCCGGACATCACCAGAGACTTCTCCTCCCACTACTGCCGGTTGCCACCAGCCCCCTATTGCTGGTTGCTGCTGGCCCCCTCCCACTACTGCCGGTTGCCGCCAGCCCCCTATTGCTGGTTGCTGCCGGCCCCCTCCCACTACTGCC